AATATACAGACAAAAGTATGTGCTTACATACATATGAATATATAAATTGAGGTACTAATAAACAGAAATGTAGAAACATTTCCAGACATATTTATGAATATGGATCCATAGTCTCACACATTGTTAATAGTTGAATTTTAATAAATGTTAACAGCATAATATTTTACCTATGTGATTAATATTCCTCACTGAATTCTGTGTATTGACAATGAAGGAGATTATGTTAAAAATAATTTGTTGGTAATAATAAATGCATTTTTATCATTAGGCTATCAACCTATTAATTCACCTATGGTAGATATAATTTTATATCTACAAGTATATGCACACTAACACATACAGATATATATATATTCCAGTTATAATGCAAAGTATACATAAATACATATATATTATATACTAGGGAACAAATATATACATATAGGCATTCAGTTATACACACACACAAAATTACATGAATGAAAAATATAGTTGTTTTTTACTTAAGAAAAAGAATAGTAAACTAAATTTTACTTATTGAAACAAAACATTTTTTTATTATTAGAAAAGTAATAAAAGGAAAAATATGAAAACCACAATACAAATAAAGAATTCTCCCTAATTCTCATAAATCAAATAAAAAAAATCACTTTTTTCAGAGCAAAACAGGGCAATATGCAAAAAAAAAAACTGTAATAAAATACAGATTAGAATTAAAGAGAAAGTAGTGAATTTCAAAGGAGTAAAAAAAGAAAAAGTCTTGAATGCCACTGAAGGCCATTATACTAAGGCCAGCTGTTGTTGACTTCTAACTTGGTGTCATTGCTCTTTCTCACCACACACTAGCCTCAGTAATGCATTTCCCTATCAAGGCAGTCTTTGTCTGTAAAAAAGAAACCCTTTCTGGACTGTCAGCTAAAGGTGGCAGCACTGTCGCTTTTATTACAAGTGCTGAACCTAATCAAAGGTTTGAAAAAGTTAATAGTGTCAGTGATTTTGGCGGCCATCTTGTCTGAGGTTTGACAGAGTTTTTGCCCTTGGCAAAATGGCGAAATAATTGGAAGGTCGGTATTGAAAAGGGATGTGAGAAAATTACGATGAGGAAGTTGAGAGAAAAGAAAAGCAAAAAACTAAAATATTTCAATGGTTGTTGGAAAAAAATATTCTCAGACCTTTAGCTATTAGGCAAATACTGGGATGCTAAGCAGGTGATTGCTTGGTCTGATGTATATAAGCAATGACTCCATGTCCATTAATACCTATCCCTTGTGTCTGTGTGTGTGTTGGTTGAAAGACCATTTATACTCTAAAGATATAAACTGAAAAGGAGATACAAAGGTATAAGCCAACCTAGAGACATAGGTAAGTGGGTCCCTAGATATTTACAACTGTCCCTTTATTGATTGTATCTGCCTATGTCCATTTATATTTATCTCTTCATGTTAATCTGTTCAGATTCATTTATATATGTTGTTAGCCATTTATCAATACTCATATGTCTTCACTTCTTCAGCCTGTTAATATCAAGTACTAGTCACAAGACAACATCTTCTCAAAGATCTAGATAATCACAACCTTGTCAACACCAGAAGAACATTGTCAGAAAACAATTTCAAAATGAATGGGAAACATAAGTATAAAGGAAAAGTATGGAAAACAACTTTGGCTAAAAATAAAAATGCATTTTCTTACTAGACTTTAAAGAAATATTTAAACTAATTCTAAGCATTTTTAAGTATTTTTTATTTACTGCCAGGATTGCTCATGAAGTCTTTAGAGGAGGTAAGAAAAATAAATAACAAGGAACTACTTAAAGCTTGTCATAAGTTAAAAAAACAATTTTGGTAATTTTTTCTAACATTTCATTAGGCTTATCAAAAACAATAAAAATTAAAATATTCTGAAAACTATATCCAAATTATGTATGCATATGGGAATTTTGAAGAGGAAAAAGATGCAAAAGTCAAATAAGTCCTGAAATGATAATAACCTTTTTCAAATCACAAAACATGTTTTTTGTGAGATAAGACATTATAATTCAAGGAATTAATTGAACTATTGATCTCATTCTTATTCTTACTTTGTTATTACAAAGTTTTGACTAATCCATTTGACAACCTTCATCAGGAGTAAAATCTGTATGGAAAAGGAAATTCTCTATTCTTGATAATTCAAACCATCTAGCACTTTCTGGTTATTTGTATTGAAAGAGAAGAGAGGTCCCTTTTTTCTTGGGTGTTTACACTCAAGAAAAAAAAGACTTCTCTTCTACACCTAAAGAAGACAGTAGAATTGATCAGCCAAAACCTTATGGTAAACAATGAATTTGAAAAGGAAGTTTCAAGCTGAAATAAATGGAGGTAAATTTGAAGATTTTCAATACTGCATAAAAAATGGCAGATAATATATCTTTTCAGTATAATAACAATGAAATTAGTTGTTACTAACTATTAATTGGTGGAGCATTAGCTACATGTCAAATTCTTTGTCTGGGAATAGTGAATGGAATTGTATAGCACTGATGTGTTGAGTAGATGTATCATTCCTAGTCTGTTGATGTGGTTGCTTCTCCTCTGTCGCTATACTGCTGTTTAAATGTTGTTTCTCCTTTGCTTATATTGGTAGAGATAGGATCAACTTGAACACAATTTTAGATTTTCAATATTCTATTTGATTGGCCAATGTTGATTCTTTAATTCTGATTTGCTGGTTTTGTTATTTTTCAGAAACTGTCCACAAGTTGTTTACTTTGTTTATTAGTTGTTTAGACATCAAATGTTTAAGTTAACTAGTGCTTTAATCCTGGCTATATCCACTTGTGCATGAGAAAATAACTTTTAGGTTTTTGGAGGTGCAACATATGCTCATATTTATTTGATAAATTAATGTGCCATGTAAATTTTACCTTAAAATGTGTTTTTATTAAAGATATTTACAATAACTTATTTGGTGAATTTTGATTTTAATATTTAACTCAAGAGTTGTTCAACATATTGTTAATATATATATATATATATATATATGTGTGTGTGTGTGCAAGTGTGTGTGTGTGTGTGTGTGTGTGTGTGTGTGTGTGTGTGTGTGTGTGTGTGTGTGTGTGTGTGTGTGTGTGTGTAAAAATTTCTCAGAATTAGTTTGTAGAAAAAGACAATATGTATATAGGAAAAAGACAATAGGAAAACTGTATGTAGTTTTAACCAGAGCATTTCATCCACTGCAGACTTTTTCAAGGCAAAAAATGAAATAAATTTATTTGAATAAAGTATTTATAAGCAAAAAACAAAATGTTGTTAGTTACTAGAAGAATTTAGGAATGCTCATATATATTCATTGTGTCAACTGAAAAATTACATCATTTACTTTTTATGTTTAAAGAGAATTTTTCATATGTAGAAATATTACTTGAATTGTTATAAAAGTTGTTAATATTTATTTTTTAATTTCATATATATATATAAAGATTACCATATATGGTAAGAAAGATTGCATCAAAATGTAACATGATATCATAAAGTTACTGACTTTAATTCCAACACTCATTAAAGGCAATTAAGCCTTCTCACATGTTTTTCCCTGATACTATATTGTAAAGACCATTCTGCATTTAACAATTTGGTCAAGTTTTATGTGGGGAACCCAAGCATTTCCACCTGGGCCATTGGACAAAATTTACCCAGCCTCTATAAAAGCAGTGTTAGGTACATTATTTGCCTGTTTTTCTCAGATGTCTCTATCCAAAGACAGAGTCCCAACTGGGTTACACTCCACCCAAAGACAGAATTCTTTTCAGTCGCAAGTCAGACAGTGAACTGCCTCACTCCAACTTGTCAGTTTTTCTCAGCAAAGTCTCTATCCAAAGACAGAGCCCTGACTGAATCACTCTCTGCCTGAAGATGGGTGTCTTGTCACCCTCCACCTGAAGACAAAAGTCTTGTCAATCTCTACCTGAAGATGGAGGCCTTGTCTTGTCGCAAGACTGACTATGATTCAACTACTACTAACCTCATACCCTGGAAATCTTTATAGTATTGGATGAGTCCATGGAGTCACTGGAGGTGTACTCTATACTCCGCAACAAATACAAAGTTATCTTATATTAACTGTTGGCTGAGCTAGTGGTTAGGTTCTTCATAGAAATAGATCACTAACACAGTTTAGAAGACATTGGTTGGTGAGGTGGTGAAGCAATTTTTGGATTAATATTGTAGATTTATAAAATTGTAGGACACATCAAAGTTGATGATGGTATCAAATACATTCAGAGAATTATTGTAAGTTCTTGGACCAAAATATTTTTGTTTGGCATAGGACACTACCAAAAATAGTTTAAACTAAAGAGTAATATTCATGCAAGATCATATTCCTTCTGAAAAGCCCACCATACCCATTTAAAAGACTAATTAATGAAATAATGAAATGATTAATGAAATAGTTCTCAGTATCTCCATATAGCAATTCAATTGAAAACTTATAGTCCATCATTAAAAGCTATGTATATGAAGATAGAAAACTATATTCAAAACAAGAAAGTGTCTAAGAAGCAAAATGAACTGGTGCAAGCAATGTTAATTAAAAGTAAAAAAGTTAACAAAATGAATGGTCAAAAGCCTGATGAAGTTTATAAAATGTCAAGAAGTCAATATTAACATGTCAAATCATAATTTATTCACTTATATGGGATATTGTGTTAATCAAATATGTTTCTATGACCTAGATGATCATTCAGATTTGTTTATAAATAAGAGTTTATGTTATACTTTGTTTGCATAATAAAACTTGGTACACCCAAAATAAGTTATGAATAATTCTTATAATGATAGATACTATAAACTGAAATTCACATAGTATATGTGCCATAAATTAAATATATCCCAAAATCTATAAAAATATTGGTTGTTTAATACCAATCTCATTGTGAAAACATTGAAATGCATGATAAAATCTAACAGTGTAAATCACTGTCAGCACTATGAAAAATGTGTTAACTAATTTTGCTAGTCACAGGACAAGAATTTACTCACCTCTAATACATGACAGATTCTTAGTTTCCTTTTTCACAGTTACCATATTGTTATGATCCAGATGTTCATTATTTTGATGGAAGGGAAAGCTGTATTCTTTGTCAAAGGATTCTCGTTTAAACTTGTGTTGAGTCACAAACCTTTGTGCAGATGTCCATGAAAAAGGCGAACAGGATTGAGACTCTGAAGGTGGATAACAACTCGGAACTAGTCTTGTGCTGATATGGGAATACCTAAAAATATATTCAGTCTTTTTTAGCATATTAATCATTTATTTTGGAAAACTCAAGACTCAAGCTGAAAAAGAAATATTCACTTAGAAGTGGACAAGCTGGAATCTTCAGGTTTAATAATTCCCAAAATGGCCCAACTTCTTATAATAAAATATTAAGTAATTGTTTCAATGCAGACATAATTTATTGCAAAGCATCCCTGCAAATTGAGAGAATTATCTCAGTAATAAAATAAATATATAAATTGACATTTTTTTAATTAACAAATGTCACAATTTTGATTCCATGCTTTTGTGAATGAACTTCAATTCTTAATTCTAAATACAACAGTACACATCTGATGAGATGGCAGCAGATAATCTGGGCTTGTTTATCACTTTATTTGAACAGGCTAGCGAGGTTACCTTTTGGGAAAAAGTTAAGATTAATTCACATATTCAATTTAATTGCAAAAAATAAAAAATTACTATCTTTAAAGTTAAGTTAAGAAAAGTTAAAAAGTTAAAAAGAAAATCAATTATGGTTTTAAAAAAACATAATTGATTTTCTTTTTAACTTTTCAATGTTTTACTCTTCACTTCCAGTTCTTTTTGCAATTTTTTGGATTAGATCATTAATTTGAAACAGAGTTGGAAAAGTTGATATAAATTATACTTTTTGATTTTTTCTATTGATCTGTATTTGTAGACTGACCATATATCCTTCATACAGATTTCATAACCTAAAATGATTCTTATACCTTTCCCTCCTCACATGCAATTTCTATTACATCAATTATTATTATTACATCATTGAAAAAAGACTGACAGTATATACAGACAGTAAATTGAAATGTCCATCAAGTTAAATGATATCTATCATAAAGAAAATCTACTTTAAATGATTGTATTTCTGATTTAGATGCTACAACTAACACCCTTAAAAATTACTGCTACAAGTAATTGAATTCCTAAATATAAGTTAATACATATTGCACATTTATAATATTTTACAAAATAAACAATTGTCTATTCTTGTGTATAAATTTAGAATTTAAGAACTGTTCTGCAAATTGACCAAGAATTATCATTATTGATACTGAAAATAGCAACATTGACTCTTGATATTTATTCAGATGATATATATTTTTACAAATCAAAAAGATTAAAAAACAAACTGTACTATTTGACTGGTATTTTAATATCAAAATGTCTAAATCTCACCTGTTTTCTGAACAACTGACTAGTCTTTCCTGGTTGAAATCTGAATGCCGAAGTCGCTGGGCATTTGATTCCTTTCCAGAACAAGGAGATGAACATAATGAATCGATGGATGAAGATGAATGGTCATAGAAGTTAGTCATGAAGTTTTTTTCCCCAGAGTCAAAATCAACTTGTTTAAGAGTTGCCAATGTCAACTGCCCATGACAAGAATCAGCAAATGGTTCTGACTTCACTTTCATGAAAGTAGCTGTTGAATAAAGATAATATAAGATTTGAAATTCAATGTCAAAAGATCAATCTACACTTTGCTGCCTGCTATAATTACGCAAGTTAATGTTTTTCTAATAAAACTTGTATTAACTAACTGATATTAGAAAAATTTTCAGGATAATACATTTATATGATAAATATGCTATATGAATTTCACCTTATAGTATATGTTTTAATTAGAAATATTTACAATAACTAATTTAGTTGTGTGAGATTTTATTATTCAACTCAAGAGTTGTTCAGCATATTGTAAATATATATAAAATTAAAGTTATTAATATTTATTTTTTAATTACAGTCATATAAAGATTGCCATTGATCATAAGAAAAATATAACCCCAAAAGATGTCTATTATAAAGTTATTAAGTTTAACAATACACCTGGTGATGGACTTGTTATTCCAGTCACTAAATGTAACATATGTCTTTCTGTGGTAATGTCAGGATTGAGAATCCTTGGTCACATCACTAGATATTGCAACTGTAACTGGGAACATTGACCAGTTATCCTAGCTATTGATCTATCAACTTCTAGGATGGGAAACTTATGCACCCACATTTTGTTTAGATAAAAACTGAAGTTCATGGTTGAAATTTTGCAAATCCAAGTCAGTCACATGTCATACAAAACTGACTTGGAATAATGATGAAAAGAAAACCAGGTATCTTAACAGGTATCTTAACAAGATTTTAACAAAACATAGTTTATTTTAGCTGTTGGTTACACAAATATTTCAAACTTGAGACTTTCAAAATAATGCTTGAGAGTGATACACAGTCATCATTGTTTTGTTTCATCATCATTGTTTGTTCATAACTATGATGATAACAGAACATCATATATGCCTATTTGCTTGTTCTCCCTCTTTTCAGAGCTAGGGTGGTAATCTTTTGGTCTAGTAATTCATATTACAATCTACCCTTCCCATGTCTCTGTTCTGGCAACATCTTGCACATATCTCTTCTCTGCTGATCTAAATAAAGTACACCATGCACTTGTATATAAATGGAAATCAGCCTACTGGCTTCTCATGAATTAATTTATTGTAAGTATCTCTGCTGTTCCAAAATGTATGTGGCCAGCTTGATACTTGACAGAATTCTGGTAACCTGACTCTTGTGAACTATTCTGGTAATCTGACTCTTGTAAACTATTCTTCCTGGTGGAACTACTGATGAATATCTCCTTAGGTAAACAAATCCCATGATTCCTTTGTTGATTTGGCAGATTTTTCTGGAAATATTTTCTTCTAAACTGATTATGCCTAAGAAACTACATCAATCTGATGGATAGGTTTTTATGCAAACAACATAATCTCAAGGGTTTTTAGAGAAAATATTTCTTTTTAACCAAAGAAAAAAATTTATTACTTGCCATCACAACCCATCTAATTAAAACAGAAATTTACTTTAGATAAAGTAAATTTCTGTTTTAATTAGTTCTCTCTCCACATTTAATCCCAACACTCATTAAGCCTTCTCACATGTTTTTCCATGATACTATATTGTAAAACAACACCATTCTGAATTTAACAGTTTGTTGACTGTTGTTAAGCCTCTTTGGGTCTCTTTTTCTGCATGAATGGGTTACCATCCACTTTGTCACATATGATAAATATACCATATTAATTTCAGATTATAATATGTTTTCTTTTTTAGAAATATTAACAATAAATTATTTACAATATTTTGATTTTATCATATGACTCACTATATTGTAAATATATAATATTAAAGTTATTAACATTTTTTTTTAGATATATAAAAATTTCCATATATGGTAAAAAAGATTGCATCAAAGGAGTAACAAGATATCATAAAGTTGTGGAGTGATAAGAAAGTCATTTTGAAGATTGTAAAAAACTTGAACAGAGATCATAAAATAACCAAAATATAAAGTGAAAATATAACTGGTTTTAAGAATGTCATCAAAAGAGATTTGGTAAAGATTAAAAGATTAATAAGTAAGAAAAGTTGATTGATCAACAAGAAAATATTTGAAAAAGTTGATGTTGGTCAACAAAAAGAAAAAATGCAGAATATTAAGAAAATTAAGACATGAAAGCAACCAAACTATGACTGTGTCAAGTAATTATCACAAAGATGAACATGAATTGAATGAAGATGTACATGAAAAGTGATTTCTCAACAGTAATCTTTAATTATACTACCTTATATCAACTGATGGTTGGGTTAGAAGTTAGGTTCTTCATAGAAATAGTCAACCAACACAGTTTAGAAGACAATATTGGGGTGATGATGAAGTAATGTTTTGAATTAATATTTTGTAGGTTATAAGATTCTAGGTTAATTCAAAGTTGATAATGATATCAAGATATATGCAGAGAATTATTGTAACTTTTGGAATCAAAATATTTTTGACTGGTACATGACACTACCAAAAAAACTAAGCTAAAGAATAATATTCATGCTAGATAATGCTCCTTCACATTCTATAAAGCTGCCTATTGCCCACCATTCCCAAAAGGTTTAAAAGACACCAATATAATGGAATAACAACCAGCATCTCTAGATATTAATCTAATACAGACATTGTGGTAAATTATTAAAAGAGATATATAGTAGAATGGAAAACAGTATTCAAGTAAATAGTAGAAAAGTTAACAAAATGGATTGAAAGACTGTATACAATGTCAAGGGGCCAACTTTAGGATGTAAGTGATTATGGCTCTCTATAGATTCCTTTATGTTGGGAAAGATAGTGAAGCAATTTCCCCCAAGTGCTTTCTTCATAGTTATGAAATCTTTATTTTTTCTTCTCTTAAACTGGTTGCTACCCATGACTAGAGAGCCAAGTCCCCCTTTCTATTTAACCAATAATTGGCAGAAGAAGAAATGGATCTATGTATTTTCCAAAAGTATTAGTGTGAAAGATTATGTTAGTGTTTCTATGTCTATCTTTGGTATTTATTTATAAGGGAAAGATGTATGATAAAGTAGAAAAAGGTTTTGTTTGATGCATTTCTTCCTTCAGGACTTTATTGGACTATTAAATATCCCACATTGTTATAATTTTTCTGCCACGAATGGTGAAACACTGTAAGTGATCAAGGCACTCTCTGAACATTTCTGTCTTTGGGAATTGCTTTCTCTAAGATGAAAATGTTTAGAGAGTGCTTTAATCACTTGATCATCCATAGTAAATTTGTGTCCAGGTTCTTACAATGTTTTAACATTCTTGGTAGACCTTCTATTATCCAAATGTGTGATATTTAATAACAAAAGTGATGGAAACATATACAAAAAGAAAAAGAATCTAAATGAAATCAGCTGGATTATATACCCAAAACATATATTAAAAAATAAATAAAATAAATTTAAAAGCATCTCTTGTTTGTGCACATATGTAACCACATCAACAAACTTAGTTCAATGACGTCCTAAAGGACAAAATGTGTCACATGAAAACTTTTTCCACTTTTTCATAGTTCTTTCTCTTAAAATTGTTCTTGATATATAAAAACTTTATATTGTTATCCTATTTATTTATAAATCAAAGATTGCTGCAGTTCATTTGTCCCACTCCCCAAGACACAATTTATTATTAATATTTTTAATAAAGAAAGAAATTATACTCAGAAACTTACATGATAAATTTCTCCTAAATATCTTTATTGAATAAAATTGATTTTATTGTGAAAATATTGATTTGCATAATAAAATCTAACACCCTGTATTGTTTTTCTATTATTTATACAGGCAAAACTTTCCAAATGACAAAATGCATTTTATTTTATTGAAATCAACCACAAATAAATCAAATTAAATTAAAATGATTTCTTAGTAATTTTACTGAAATCATTTTTTTACTGAACAAATTAAATTTTCATTCTTATTATTTCATTAAATTACTTTATTTGTAAAATATTGATATTTTAAAGATGAATCAATAATCAGAAAAACAAATTCTTGTCTTTTTAAATTTCATGTGAACAATATGAAAGAATTTGCCTTAATTTAAAATAAATATATATAAGTATGCAATGAAAATCTGCTCAATGATGAAAAAATAAAATAAAATTTTGATATGTTTGAGGTGGAATATGCTTTAACAAAAATAATTATAAACATAGACTAAAATGTTTGCTCAATTAAGTATTTGTAAAATGGAATGTCATTATAGGCAATTTCATGTGGAGAATTTCGTCATTATGTTGAAATAGGTGACCAACAGATTAAAAGATAAAAGTGAAACTAAGTGTACCAATAGGTCAAGTTTTTTTTGTAGTGAATGTGAATATTTTTTTGTACATATATTTTATAATGTGTTGTTACAAATACATAATGTATTTATTTATTTATACATATAAATATAAATCAAGTTCTCTCATTTTCTTATGCAAGTATGCATTATGTGTATATTTACATTCAACTGTGAGTGAACATGGTGCACTAATTTGTATGCAAATGTCTTTCTGCCTATATACAAGCATATATATAGAGATCTGAGTTGGTATATTTACACACACACACACACACACACACATATATATATATATATATAAATTATATCTTTGTGGAATACGTCATTTTGAAAATTTGTACATGTATATATTTGAAAAAGAGATAGCATGAGTAAATCTATTTCAAACGGCAACAGAATAGTCAAGCTGAGCTACTTGTTTCAAACAGATATATCATAATAAACAGTTGAAATAATTGTCATGCTTGTGAGATGATATTTAGTAATCACGTCAGAACAAAAGAAATTCCCCTTATAAACAAAAAGGAAATTCTCTTTATAAACAACAAAAAAAAGAAATTCTACTTATAAACAGAACAAAAGAAATTACCTTTATAAACAAAATAAATTCCCTTTATAAACAGAAGAAATTACCCATATAAACAAAAAAATACTCTTATAAACAAAAGAAATTTCCTTTATAAACAGAAAAAAAGAAATTCCCTTATAAACAACAAAAGAAATACTCCTTATGAACAGGAGAAAAGAAATTC